TGCAGATGCGCGGTGACCAGAATGTTTTCCATGGGAATAACCAATTAGCTTAGCTGGTTTGTAATCTAAGCCCAAGATAACACGCCACGCAGTCAAAACTTGACTATATGAGTCCAACTCAAATTGGCGAGTGACAGTGAAGTTCGATGTGTAAGCTTTTAGGCACCAACAATAAAGCACGCGGACACTTCCGTCCCTCATCAGATTTAAAGATTTTCCTCATTCTTGTCACAATGCAGAGCGCCGTAGCACTTCGTTTATCTTCTGAACGCGACGTCGACAAACGCCCGAAGGCCTGGAACGCTACTCATCGCATGCCAAGAACAAGTATATTTGTATTCCATGTATTGGACGCCGCGAGTAACAACGGAGATGGATTTCATATACATCGCGTTCAACAACTATTGAAAGCGTATGCTTGGGCCTGAAAAATCTACGAATGACATGGGCCGTGCATTATTTTGGAAAGAAATGAATATGCCGGATTACACCCACTAGTGAATTTTCCGGTCGCGATGTTTTCGCCGCATTGAAATTGGTGTGTAAATTTCAAGCGCACTGGTAGATGAGAATACGGTTTTAGAAAATGCACCAGTGGGTCCGCCATCTTGTGGGCAGACACGTGTTCCCTTTAGGTCGTTTTCAATCACTAGTAACCACGTACGAACATAAGTAACTGACTAGGCCACTGAGCATTTTGTAAATAAAGTTACGTACCAGATACGAAATTTTAAATTACTAAAATTTGGGCACGATTGAGAGTGAGAAAATCTGGACGCGTGAAAATGTGACGGATGTTATCCTAGGAGTGTACTTTTGGGCTCATGTAGCTGAATTGTTTCATTTGGCAGAAAGCTAGTTTTGATAAATCTTCTATCGTTTTCTCGCGAACTAATCCAGCATAAGCTTGATATAATAAACTCCACTTTCTGTCGGTGCTGTATGTTGTGTTCGCGTGTAGTCACAAATGCTTAAAATGTTGCTACATGTCAGATATGGTTGGTCATCAGCGTTAATTGAACGAGCTACCATAATTCACAGCTCTCTGGCTTCTTTGTAATCGAGCCAGATATTTAGCATGTAAAATCTTGCGAGAGTGATCCGTCGCTACATCTGGCAGACACCAGTTTGTTGCTGAAACGTCAATTTATTAAACGTCCACCATGCGTATAACTATTTTGAAAATTCATCACTACGATAAAACAATTTAGGCAGCAGTGCATTCAGAGAGCAAATCTCCCGCCTAATCTTATTGTAGCTGAAACGGCCATTCATTCGTTATTCCGTAGTAAACTGCGAATAACGATAATGCAAACACCGCAGTACCACTAAACTACGACGTTTCAAAAGGAAAAATAATCTTGTTTCCCAATGTAACACAGGAAGATTAGCAAAATATATTACATACATTGCGCGGAAACACTGTATTCTCTTGTTGAACCGTTTGTTAAACCAAATGACTCATGCTTAGATAAGTGACAAAATGTTAGTTTGTGTGTTTCAATATTTCACATTTTCTGGCAGCAGGATTAGGTGCTTTACTTATAACAAAACAAGAACTCTGACAGAACACGGCAATGCGCCAAATTCCAGTCGGAAAATTTAAGGGATGCTGAAGGTTCATACAGTCATAAGTCGAACGTTTTCACCCGTTCGGGCGTAAGCATTCTCCATGAATTTCATAAGGAACCGGTGTGGAAACGAACCGATGGGTTGCTCAGCGAATTATACATCGTATGTCTTCCCCATAAACTGCAATTGGAGCGGACAAGATAATACCGGTTTTTAGCCTCCTGCACCTATTGACTCTCTTGAAATGATGGAAGTATGAGCTCTGCAAGGTACCACAGAAACCTCAAATAACCGGCGGATGAAGGATGTCCACTGTTTGCTTTCTTTTGACGTCATCTTGTTGTATCTCTTCACCTGCCCTGACGCTACTGGGTTATAGTCAGAAGACAAGAAGACAACCTGAAGGAACTGCATATTAACGCTATTACAAACTTCTATATATGTGATTCACTTGTCACCGTATTTGACGGTCGACCCGCTGTCAACCAACCAGTGCGTCTCCCACACGCCCACACTGGTTCTTGGTTGATCATAGATGGCCGTCTGTGCGCTTGTGTACGGAGTGTCTTGGCCATGGAGTGGGTGTGAACTTTCTGTGTCCCTCTCTACCTTTCTCCGGCACATGATGAAGTCGGACGTGATTCAGACGTGCGGACATAACCGCACGGCTCTGTTTCACATGATTGTTCCGCTGCGCAGTAGGTTGATGCGCAGCCGTATTACACCAAGTGTTATATTTGTGGGTGCATTATAGCAGGTAGGTGTTATCTTCTTGAATTGCACTTAGCATCACCGATATACAGGTAGCCTCAGACCCAGATTTTCGTTCACGCATTGAACCGCTTACATTTTGTACAGCTATTTAAAATCGACCGACCCGTCCATATAAAATGACAGGAAATAGAGTTGCACATGACCCTGCAAACATTCATGCATTTATAATCCTCATTTAACGAGGAGCAAATGCTGTCTACCATATCCTTTGTGCACAACAATGTCACATCAGTTGTAATGCTTAAAATAACTCGCGCTTGTGAGCAGCGTTACTGGACGTATTTATTTTGGGAACCATTTGGCGCCTAAGTCTACATTACTAACAGAGTGTTAGATAAGG